ATTTGCTGATGGATTAGAGGAGGAACTTGAAAGAAAAGAGCAGAGTCAAGGATGATTTTGTGCCATTTAAGCTGAGCAACTATGATGGGACTTCTATTTGTTGAGTTGGAAAAGCCTTTGAGTAGAGCAGTCATTACATGTTTCCTTTGGACATGGTAAACTGAAGCTGTCTTTCAGATCTTCCAACAGACATTTTAGATGGGCCGTTCAGTGAACCAGCACTTTGAAATTATAAAGGTTTCAGGGATCTTAACCAGTGTCCTTCACATAGAAAATGTTCTCCAAAATACATATTCATCTGAGAGCTTTGGCAGGGACCAGGGTCTTCTATTCTCAATTTATCTCTTAATTCATTATGTCATATTATAACTAAATTTGAAAAAAATTCCACTTTTTAAAGGACCACACTTTCTCATTTTTGACTAAGTAAAAGCGATTTTATTTATCAACAATGCACAAAACAAAAATTAGTCTCCTTTTGATTTGTTAGAGCTATTTTGGGAATGTCAATTAAAACAAAAAGTTGGAAACTAATATCCCAGAGTTCTGTCTTTGTGTGATGTCAGATAGATAGATGATAGAGAGATAGAGAGAGAGAGAGAGATAGACAGACAGACAGATGATATAGATATCAGTGTCTTTCGTGACCTTCCTGGAGCAGGGACATAAGATGGAGGAGCTAAAAGGACTTGAGGGGAAGTTCAAAACTCCTTTCTATGAGTAACACCTAACTGTTATTGCCTAGTTTCTGGTTTTTCGATATCTTTCACATAGAAGAACTTAGGACAGGCCATTCATGTTCTTATTGTAAGTTAGTCTTTATCTGTCTCTTTTTTCCCTATAGATCACACAAACTGTGTATATGTTTGTGTGTGTGTGTGTGTGTGTGTGTGTGTATACTGGTACAACAGTTGTGTTCAATGAGGTACTACATATATGAGAGTGTTCCCATTGCTACTGTAATGACATAACAGCCCAATGGATTACTCATGTATTTGTAGTTAAGCTGAGTTGGACATACTACATTGAAGATGTTTTACATCTTCCAAAAGACATTTTAGAAACCTATTGCACTGCTAGTCATATAAAATATACTAGATAAAATTTTGTACCATAGATGGTACTTATATGTCTGAAAATTTATTAGGAATTTTTAGTAATAAACTCAAAATCAAATTGACAAGTTTATGAGAAAAGAATGAAGAAAACAAACTGAAAATAATGGTTTAAAAGTGTAATAGCTTGTATCTAGATGCTCCTCCAAAGCCTCATGTGGTCATAGGTGGAGATTTTTAGAGGTACCTGGATCTAGGGTGTGTGATGCTGGAATTAAGAGTGCCTCTATCCTTTGTACTGGAAATCTTTATTTGTTCCTTGTACTCTTGCTACATGATTTTCTTCCCCATTGTATCCCCATTTAATCAATATTATCTATGTGACTGTACTTGTTGTAATCTTATTGGTTTATCATAGTTTTGTCTCACCTCATGTCCACTTTGTGATTTCTCATTGGACCTGTATTACCTAAATGACTGTACTTACAATCTTATTAGTTGACTATAGTTTTGTCCCACCTTGAAACTGCCTCACCTCATGGCTTTGTCTCATAAAACACCTTTGAAAAACAGGCTGGTTGGGCAACCCACTTTCCAGTCCCCCTTCTGTCTCTCTTAGACAGAAGCTATCTTTCTCTCAATAAATTTTTCTTACTTAAAAAATAAAACAGAGTACCTCTGTGGGTGGCACCAATCTATTGGCTTATAGCATGGATAGAATATAAAGTCACTTTATGATATTTCACTGCTGTTGCTGCTGCTTCAATACTTTGCTGCCTTGCTGCCTTCTGCCTACCCTGCTTTGCCACGAACTGTTTCTTCTCTGCATTGCCCCTTTTCCATGCCACTCTGCCTTGGAGCCAGCTGACTATGGACTACGACATCTACAAACTGTGAGCTGAAATAAATCTTTCCTCCTTTTATTCATGGGTGTCTGGTATTTTGTCTCAGCAATGAGAAAAGTAACTAAGACAAAAAGCAAGGAAAAATAAAACAAAACAAATCATCAAATAACAGCTTATTCTATGTCATCACCTTCTGTCACACAGTAATAAAAGGTATAGGAAGACTATTGGGGCAAATTTTAATATAGAATAATACAAAAACTCTCATGGATTTTAAGGAACAAAATGCTTGCCAGAAAGTTATCTTGGAGAAGGTGTGTGAGAATTAGGATGGTCCGGGTAGTAAGCAAATCATAAGATAGGAAGCCACAAGCAGTGATAGTGGCAGAGCAGAAGCACTTCAGGCAAGAAGGCTGCTTCATGGATTAGGGTAGGATTAAATCCTCTGAATTGCATCTGGTTTTTGTTTGATTTGGGTTTTTTTTGATGCAAATGTTTATTTTTGTCCTACGTATTGGTCTATGAGGACTTCCAGACAGAGTACAATTTGCCAAAGAGTCTGGAAGACATACAAATTTAGAGCATTCTTGTCTTTGGAAAATTGATTTCTGGTTTAGGAATACCTCATTGGTGGATAACAATTTTTATGTTATTGTGCCTCCGTTCGCATCTTTTCAGTAATTTAAATATAAAATACTGTATTTTAAAAATACATGGGCCTTAGTTTATGTATGAAATTATCAAGAAATTTTCCTTGCTATCAGGTCCACTGAAAAAAATAAGAATATTTACTGTTCCATAATTATGGCGTTTTTGGATAAGTCAGAAACTTGATCATGTCTCACTTTCCATATCAAGTGGTAGTAAAAGAAATAAAATATCATATTCCATGCAGAGCACTTAGCAGAGTCCCTGGCATACAGAGAGCATTCAATAATATTAGCTAGTTTTTTTACTATATGATTAACTATGAAATATGACTCATAATTCTAACAGATAATGTATAAGAATATACTTAGAAAGGACACCTGAAATCACTTTAATACATATAAATCAACATTTGAAAATGTACTTCAGAATCATAGACCACTCCTGATTGATCCTCATCAATGTAAGATTTTAAAAATTTAAGGAGGAAGTTAATCAAATTATTTAAAAATAAAACCACAAAAAGTAAAGATAAATATTTTTAAAGGTATGGCAAATTTTGCTCTTGAGATTTTGTTTTCTTTTGATTAACTGTCCTCACTTAATCTGAAATAATTTATAAACTGTCAACCAACACATTGCTTTTCTGGTTAAAAAAACAAAAATTTAGTGATTTCTGACCACAATATATTACAAATATTATAAGCCCATGCTTATGAGACATTTATGTTTATTATTAATAAGTAATAATCCTTTGACATGTTATAAATTTGAGCAACACATTAAATAATATGTGTAGATATTCCCAGAAATGTAAACTATGTTTTAATTTAGAATCAGTTTCTAGGAAATGAAACATAGCTTCTAGTATATATTGACTTTAATGGTTTCTATTAATCCCTAAATCCACTTCAAGACTTCATTTAAGATTATGAGATGTTCATAATTAAGCAAAGCAATTTAACTAATGTTAAGTAGAAGTGCTAAGATGATTTGTAGGAAGGGGTACTTTATGACTCTAAAACATATCTGACTCCAATTAAGCAAAAATCTTTATCCTTACTGTAGATTTCTCTCTTCTGCATGGTAATGTCCATTCTACTTCCTGTAGCATAAAAACTCTTTTTAAACACATTTCTAGTGACAAAATTCTTCAACAAAAAACTAGCAATTTGATAATATTAAGAAGTCACCAGCCAAAAACTATTTTTGAAATGTGCTTGGTATTATGATTTAAATATGTTCTTACTATAAATTTTCATTGGAAACATTTAATATTTCTTAATGTTTAATTCTTTGTCATCACTATTTTATGCTCTTATTTTAGCCATAAGAAAAAGTTTCCCATAAATGAGACAAGGGAATTAGGCAAGGATCAAATCACGAGATTCTGACTAATGTGCTAAGGAATTTGGATTTTACTTGAAGGCAATGAACACCTTCTGAGAGATTTTACAGAAGGAAATGATAATAGTGAATTCATATATCAAGTAGAGTTTCATAAGACCAGTATGGCAAACAGTTTCAATGAGATAGAGTCTAGTTAGGCTTCACAAAAGGTACTGATGGATTGTGAGCCATTTTGTCAGTCTTTTCATAGTGGCCACTGAATGAGAACAGGACAGTTAACATGGTAATAGGGCATAGACATTGTTATAAAGGGATTCTTCGATGTAATTAACATTTAAGTAAGTAGCATTTAAATGAAGTTCTTGTCCTCCAAATGTGGCTGGGTTTATCCAGTCAGGCATAGGCCTTCGCAGCAAAGGCTGGGTCCCCTAAGGAAGAAGGTATATGGCTCCAGAGTCCTTCAGACTCATACTGCATCAACAAGGCTTCCTTAGGTCTCCAATCTGTGGGCAAGCTCCATAGATCTTGAATATACCTGTACCCAGAACCACAACCACACAACAATAATGCCAATATCCTAAAAATATTC